AATTTTAATTTAGGACTGTAAAACAAGCAATCAAACTTATTAGGAATTAAAAGAATTTAAACTAATCTTTTAAAATATCCCCATTAGGGGCCGGGGAGATGGCTCAGTGGAATAAGCACTTGCCTGGCAAGTGCAAGGGCCTGAGTTCAATCCCTGGTTCTGCCAAAAAATAAAAAAAATATAAAATATCCCCATTAATGGGCCTGGCGAGATAGCTCAGTGGTCTAAAGCGCCTGTTTAGGCAAGCTTAGGCAACTGCAGGGACCTCCGTTCCATCCCCATCACCATAGGCTGTGCCAGCCCTGCCCTGAGGGCAGGCTGAGCTGGCAACACACACACACACACACACACACACACACACACACACACACAAATAAGAATTAAAAAATATCCCCATTATTATAAATCGTAATATGATTTTTTAAAGCAAACTTTTTTTTTTTTAACTTGATTTTTATTTTATCAAAGTAAAACACAGTCTCACAGTAGAAGCCAGGTAACAGCGCTGCCCGGCTGCTCAGCCCTGCTTCCGCAGCTGCTTGTTCTGCCAGTGCACCGGTGTTTAGCTCTTTCTTCTTTGCTTTTGCTTTTGTTGCTGGTGCTGGGGACAAACCCAGGGCCTCTCGCCCACCAGGGAACAAATGCTTCCCTGCGGAGCTACGCCCAGTTGTTCTCCTTGCTCCCCAAGACCCCAACCTCCTTGGAGATGAGGTTTAGGCGTCGCACACTCCCTAACTTATCTCTGGCGAGGTCTGTACCAGCGCCACCTACTTTCCAAAGAGGAAATCAGCTTCAGCTAGACATTCTGGTTTTCCTTCCTGTTTTTGGTTGGTTGTTTCTTCTTTCTGGAAAACATTAGTTGGCTATTGGACTTCCAGGATTGACCTTTCAGCATCATTTCTTTTCCTTTTTTTTTTTTTTAATTTTTCCATAATTTTATTGAGAAACAAATAGCAATGATGCAGTTTCAAAACAAATTAGTAGGACAGATTCAATAATTAACACATAGCATACATTCTTCCTAGTGGTTAACTGCTGTACAAGATGCGGACATGATATCCTATTTACAAACACTATTAGAACAAATACCTCTATTCCTTAAGAGAATGTAACTATATATCTATCATAATCATTTTGAATACACAGATACAAAATGGACATTCATCTGTATCCCCTTTTTATGTTAAGTTCCATTATTTGAATCTTATAGGTGTGTTAACTCAGCAAAATATTCTAAGAGTCCAGTAGTCCATAATAGTATTGGGTCTTCCGCTTCACTGGCAATGTCAGAATTTTTTTTTTTTTTTTTTTGTGGAACCGGGGATTGAACTCAGGCCCTTGGGCTTGCCAGGGAAGTCTCCCCGGTCCCAGTCAGAAATTATTAAAGCAAACTTTTTCTTTGGGATAGAAATAGTCTTAATTTAGTCACCTGGGCCGGGGAGATAGCTCAGTGGAATAAGCACTTGCCTGGCAAACTCAGTGGCCTGAGTTCAATCCCTAGTTCCGCAAAAAAAAAAAAAAAAAAAAATGTAATCACCTTAAGTGGAAAAGTTAAAGAACTTTTATTTTAGTGTCAATTGTAATGGAGAAAGAGAAGTGCTCTATTTCCTTTTTTTCTGCTAAACTCTATTCCTGGAGGAATGGGCCTTTGTATCTCTCCACATGGACAAGCCAGCCCTTTCTTGGAGGCCATCCACACTTGTATTTCAAAAGCCCTTTAAAATATTCCCTTCAGGGGCTGGTGAGATGGCTCAGTGGTCTAAAGCACCTACTTAGAACAAGATGAGCAAAGCACAGGGACCGTGGTTTAATCCCCCAGCACCACATGCCAGCCAGCCCCGCCCTCTGGTGGGCTGAGCTGCCCCCCCCACATAAATAAATTAAAAAAAAATTCCCTTCAAGTTTTATTTTTTAACCCAATAGTTCTTTTTAATAATTTTAAATTTATTTATTTATTTATTTATTTATTTATTTATTTATTTATTTTTGGCAGAGCCAGGGATTGAACTCATACTCTTGCGCTTGCCAGGCAAGCACTTATTCTACTGAGCTATCTCCTCAGCCTTAAAATTTTTTAATCAAAGAAAGAATGACCAATTGAGTGCTACAAGAGTCTGGAGTGATTTAAACAGTAGTTTAGGTGGATCGAATGATAACCTTGATTTCTCCTGTATCATCAGCATTGATGACAGCAGGCAAAACTTGGAGACTTCTTTGTGTTGAGGCTCTGCCTCTGGTTTCAGCTTTTACTCTATGGCCTTGGGGCTGGGCAAGCTGCCAGCAGCAGCCTAATTGTCTTAGTCCCTGGAATGGATTTCGTGGGCCCACGTCCCCTCCCCAGGCTTCAGGGGTGCCACTTTCTCGGTGTGCACAGGCACAGCGGTCACTGTGCACGCCAGCTGTCACTCTGGCTCTGACCGCTGGGTGTTTTGTTTTTGTCGAGACTGGCTCTATCTTGAGCCTAACAAATTTTTGATGCCAGCAACGTGACTAGCCAATGCCAAGGCCATGGTGAGCCATAGTCATGATCTTCCTACTTAGCAACAGGCGTAAAGGACCGTAGTAGGTGGCTCTTGCCAGCCTCTGCGGCTGGACGGGGCACACAGACACGCAGGTGGCTGGGGAATCCCAGCTGGGTCAGCCTAGGACCAGAGTGCGGGGCTTTCCCAGAGCTCAGTTTGTGCCCCTCCACTCCAGGCAATGCTGTGGTGCTTGGAACCAACTGCTCATTTTCTTTTTAAATTTTCTAATTTTTAATTTTTTTTTTGCAGAACTGGGGATTGGACTCAGGCCCTTGCACTTGCCAGGCAAACGCTTATTCTACTGAGCCATCTCCCTGGCCCCTACTGCTCAAAATTTAAAAGAACTTTTTCATTTTTTATCTTTGAGCAAAGCTACAGGGTTTAAACTCTATCTGCTGTACCTTTGCTCCATCCTCCTTGTCCCATTTGGGACTGATTTTAAAACAGTATTCCACTCTAAATCCTTTGTGGTGGGCTTAGAAAGTAGCAGAGCCAGGGAGATAGTTCAGTGGCATAAGCACCTGCCTGGCAAGCGCACGGTCCTGAGCTTGATCCCTGGTACAAAAATAAAGAAAAAAAAGAAAGCACAAATACAGGAACCAAAAAAACAAGAAACATTTTTACATCCACAAACATCTATGGTTCTGGAAACTCTGTCCCATTAATTATTTATTTATTTATTTTGGCGGAACCGGGGATTGAACTCAGGCCCTTGGGCTTGCTAGGCAAGTGCTTATTCCACTGAGCCATCTCCCCGGCCCCTCTGTCCCATTTTTAACTCAATCTAACTTTTCCCTTTTTGGCCTCTCTCACACCTGTTTCTCTATGCTCGTTTATCTCGATGGCCCTAATGAGCCCATTTCTGGCCCTAGTGAACCTCGATCCCCCAGTTTTACATCCAGCGCGCCAGCACCAGTGCAGGTCTGTGTTGAACACTGGCTCTACATTCACTTCCCTCCCTTATGTGCGCTCTTTGGAAGTGTTCCTGCTGCCTGCACTTATCTCGTACCAGGAGTCCTGCTCGGGCACCAAATGTAGGGATCTGTTGGTCTCAGTGTGATCCATTGTACCTGGGGAGAAGTGGGTAGGCTGCAGGAATGAAGAAAAGATAGACAAGAAGACAAGAGCTGGGTTAGGTGGTGACTCATCTGCCTGGTTGGCAAAACGACCCCTCTCCCCAGCAACACTATCAACATTTATTTATACCTTTGCAAAATTAGTAACACGTCACACAAGTTTGCCTAGTGACTAGAAGCCGACATTAACCAGTCAGGATGTTTATCTCAGGACTGAAGTAGCCTGACTGCTTTAGACACTGAGGCCTGGTCCTGCTTTCACACATTTGACCAATTTTCCAGCTTCCGTGGCGCCCAACACTGAGCAGTATAGCAAGACCCTGTACCAAATATATATATATATA